CATGTTGGCTGTCACCAATCACCTCCTTCTTATTATTCCATGTCCCTGAGCATAGTCTCCAGGAATATATCCAAATATCCAGATATTTGGATGGCAATTCTCATTGTTGACATTCATTAAAAAAAGCAAGAGTCAATAAATCAGAAATATAGAAAAACTTAAAAGCATTGTAAAATTAAATTAAAATACTGTATTGGAATTAATATTTCTATGATAATTGCTGATTATTCAAATGAGAAAATGTTTGCTCACTGTGTAACTTCTTAACTTATCATCAATGTAAATAGCTGCCTTTGTGGCAACTTCAATTTGTAGGTTTTTCTACAAATTAATTAATTTCCTGTTGGATTATTTTTCCTTGTTGCAGCTGAGATAGAGTTAATATTCTTCATAGTAACTAGTATGGGCTATGTTTTGGATTTGTGCTGAAAACGGCGTTGATGATAATACAGAGATGTTCCAGTGCCTCACCACCATCAGTAAAGAATTTCTTCCTAACATCTAATCTAAATCTACCCTCCTTCAGCTTAAACCCATTGCCCCTTGTCCTATCATTCCATGCGCTTGTAAACAGTCCCTCTTCAGATTTTCTTTAGGCTCCTTTAGGTACTGGAAGGCTGCTCTAAGGTCTCCCTGGAGCCTTCTCTTCTCCAGGCTGAACAATCCCACCTCTCTCACCCTGTCCTCACAGGAGAGGTGCTCCAGCCCTCTGATCATCTTCAAGGTCCTCCTCTGGACTTGCTCCAACAGCTCAATGTCCTTCTTATGTTGGGGACCCCAAAGCTGGATGCAGTACTCCAGGTGGGGTCTCACAAGAGCGGAGTAGAGGGGCAGGATCACCTCCCTCGACCTGCTGGTCACGCCTCTTTTGATGCAGCCCAGGACACGGTTGGCTTTCTGGGCTGCAAGTGCAGATTGCTGGGTCACATTGAGCTTCTCGTCCACCAACACCCCAAGTCCTTCTCCTCAGGGCTGCTCTCAATCGATTTTCCACCCATCCTGTAGTTGCGCTTGGGATTGCCCCAACCCATGTGCAGGACCTTGCACTTGGCCTTGCTGAACTTCATGCAGTTCTCACAGGCCTCTCCAGCCTGTCAAGGTCCCTCCGGATGGCACCCCTTCCCTCCAGCATGTCGACCACACCACACAATTTCGTGTCATCAGCAAGCTTGCTGAGGGTGCACTTGATCCCATTGTCCATGTTGTCAACAAAGATTTTAAACCTCTACCTTAAAATACATTTTGTCCATTTTCTAACAAACAGATTGATTTCATCATTAGATATGAATAAATTATGCATTTGATGTTTTCGTAGGACATTTTAAAGTTTTTATTCAAATAATGACACAGTGCAATTTGTGCTATTTTTCCCATAAAACAGGTAATACGTCTATTCGATCTGGAGAAGATGCACATATATTTCTTATGGAAATGTAATTTGTTATTTTTAATCCTAGTAATCCTACCATTTATGCTGGTAAGAAATATGCCTCTAGAGGTACATTGAGACATATTTTTGTGTCACTAAGAGGTAATGATGTGTAGCAGTATATCAGCAGCATATGAGGAACCAAGTGTAACAGATGATTGAAAGAAATTCAACTCTTCCATAGAGCTACACGTGCTAAGTCATCTAAATACAGCATTCAACAAATGACTGAGTGAGGAAGGAGGAGGCAAGCCCTCAAAGCCCACGCCAGCGACAGGAAAAGTATGTTTTAGATAGAAATTGATGAAGGATTTATAGAGCAAGAAAGAAGTAATAGTACCGGCAATTTAGATTGCAATTTGCACAGTACAATTCAGTAGAAATTAAGGCCTTTGTGGAGTGAATTTCAGAGCCAAGCAGAATTCAAGACCCATTACAATTCATGGAAGGAATGAAAAAACAAAAAAAAAAAGAAAGGAATGAAAGGGGAGAATCATTTGTAAGAATGAGAGTGTACAACAGTGTAAAGAAGAATGAACGACAATGTACAGAGTAAAATAAGATCTGTTTTGGACATGGTTAATTTGAAGAAATAAAGAGGCTTCCAGGAAACACCAAGAAAAGAGATGGTTTTACCTGAATGCCGGTATCACTGATGTTTTTGCATTCTGATATAGAAAGTTCCTTTATTTTTCCATGGCAGCCAAGGGCTCTCAAGCCCTAAAAAATTCCAGAAAAATTGATCTTAAAAATCAATACATGCAATTATATGTAATTACATTCAATATGTTAAGATGGTCAATAATATCCAATGCCTGTATGTTAAATCTTCTAAGATTTAACATAAATCTAACACCTTTTAAGATATTCTCTTCAGCAGAATGCATATAGTTTATCCTCTGATTTTTGCTTGAAGTATGTACAAGGGTTGAGGATTCTTTGCAGAAATAATTCAATTAAGAAAGCAAAAAGTCAGATTTTTCTACCTGTTCAGAAAGAAACTGAGGAAAAGACATGTGGTGTGAAATACTTCCAGAGGACACAGACCACAATTCTCATAAAGCAAAATACATTTACAGATCTCCTCCAAAATTTGGGTTTGAAAGAACTTATCACAAATTTTTTTTGTTGGAAGAACAAAATACTATTTGCTACAACCAAATAATATCTTAAAAGTGCTGCCTTTATGATTTGCTTACCAGTAAGGGCTTTATGGCTACAGCTATGGTACAAGACCACATTTGAAATGGTGCAGTCACTCATAGGTGCATGAACAACGCCCACATTCAAGACAATAGGGAGGTGAAAACTTTGGCAAAAGGATCCGCAGACGCTTTGTGATTTTTATTGCTTGTACACCAGGAAACAGGACCATGTTCTGATCCTAAACTCTAATCTGAAGGAGAATTAAATGTTGATTTTGTAAAATGTATTTTGATAGCCACAGCAGAATATCTCTGCACTTCATATCAATAAAGTAAACTTTACCAAAAAGCAATGTTATCACTTAATTCCATATGATTAATAAATTATCTACAATTAGGCAGTGAACAGCACTGCACAGAGAGGAAATATCATCTTGGAAAAATAAGCACATGTAAATAGTGTCTGGAATCCAGATGTGGACACTGTAACGATAATGCTGGAAGAGTGTGGCTGGAGTTCAAATTTTGCAAATTCCTGAAATCTCACAGGCTGAATAAAAACAAAAAATGGAACAATGAAAGAGTTTTCCAATCTTGGCTACTTATGCAAACAAAGACATTTGCATTTTTCTCAGCAGACACAGTTATGTGGTGACCATTACTTTCAACAGCTTCATGAATATCTACAGATTTCAAATTTTTGTTGACCAGAGCACTCCTATTCAAGACCAAAAAAACATTATGTACTAAAGCCCCAAATGGGTTTCTGTCAGAGCTTGAATTCCTTACAGCAGAGACTGATAGTGATAGGTGTGACCTTATGGACACAATTTCTTCTTGCATTTTTCTTTGTTTAAAAATGGCACCATTTTAACATAGTTGGTAATGAAATACTAAAGAATATTATAAAGATTTTTTTTTTGCTACATGACAACAACTGCTATGAATTCAAAGGTAACTTATAGTACTTTTATATGATTAGAGTGACATTGAATCACAGAATTTTTATTTTTCTTCCAATGAAAATAATTTCATTAATAATTCCAGATTTGAGAAGGGGAAGAGCGAAGACGTGGAAGGCAAGGAATGTCATTAGGAACTGTCAATTACATAGAAAAACTACAAAACTTTTATGTTTCCAAAAATAAACCTCTTCAAACAAGCTTTACGCACGAAGTCTAATCTATATGAAATTTTATACTATTATTTTTATATCTAACATATAGAAAGGAGCCAGTTTTCACTAGTTTTATTAGACTTCCTGATTTACTCAGAACTATTCCCTGATAAATAACATCAGGGATCCCCATCCAGGATACTGACCTATTTCTAGAGACTTTTATCTTCTATACTAAGCCTCCAGACATTTTTGAAAGATTTGGTCAGAGCTATCACATTATCATTGGAACTCCTGGAAATAGATGCAAGCAAACAGATACTGTGCAGCATACAGACCAGGATCACCCACTCTATGTGTTTCCAAACCCATATTTCTCTTTAACATAAAGAAATCACCCTATGTATCTTGGAACAATCTTCTGTTGTCATGGAAAAAGGGGAGACTTTGTCCTACATCTCTTGTATAGCATTTCCATTTAGAAACTTTACAAGAAACTTCTTATTCTTCTCCAACAGCTCTTTTTCTCAAGCAATTTTTACATTTTTCTTCTGTTTCATTTACTTTATTAGGTGAGGCCTACAAACATGTGCAGAACATCATTTATTATTATTTTGCCAAGGATTTTGTAGATGAGAAAATGAGTACCTGTTGTACCAGACAGTGATGGTCTTCTCTTGCTAGAGACAAAAGGCATCTGAGGCTATGGCATACCAAAGAATATCTTTTTATTATTTATATTCACAAGCTGCAAGTCTCTGCCTTTCAACTGCAGACTGCAATGAATGTACTGTCTCTCGCTAACAATAACCATGTGCTACGCTATTTTCAACTTCTTCCGAGATTTCTGTTCACATATCTCTGTAACCTTGAAGGTCAGCATCTGTAATGTATCTTTATGTTCTAGAGATATACAGATGTTACTTCCTGTTCATACCCCAAACCAAACAGATTGACCTCAAAGTGACTCCAATCTTGTAAGACAGCTCTTAAGAGGTATATCCCACCCTCCATTTTTAATATTAAATGACTCAATTTATCCTCTAAACCACTCAGCTTTCTGCACAGATTAGCCACTGTCAGGCACCAGTTTCATGGATCAAACACTTACTGGAAGGGAAGAATTTAACTCCTACCGTGCATTATCATTGTGCTAATAACAGTTCACATGTGGCAGAACAAAGTTCAGTTTCAGATAGCAAAAACCTTCTGGAAAATGGGTACGGTTTTAAGCGAATGTAGCTATACTGTTTCCAATACCTGAGCTGATATAGAGGTGGGTCAGACCTGTTTACAGAAACTGTAGAGACTTTTTTCTATTGCAGTGCAGAAATCCCCCTGTATGACTTTAGTGTATAATGCCATAACATTTAATTTCTCTACCTAACGCTGTTTGTGGTTAGACCAGATCATAACTTAAGAAATATGGTTGCCAATGTTTCTTGACACTAAGTCTACACAACAGGGCTTCCATTGTAACTAAATGTCCTGTAAAAATATCGAGTCAAATTTCCAACATTGCTAAGTACCTTTAATTCCTACTGATTTGCATTGGGACTGAAGGTGTTAGCACATCTGGCATCGATTGTAACGACTCTCTGCGTTAGTATTTCCTATTTCTATGCAGAATTAAGTTTCTAAGTCTCCAGGTCAAATTCTCTCTTTCTCTATTCCCCCAAGCAAACTAGAGTGCTAACATCTGAATTTGGAGCCCACTTTAATATATTTTAACATTTCCTTTTCCTTGCCTTGGGAATGCGCGTGATTTGTCACATCCTTTCCTTTGGAAATCAAATGCAACTAATTCATTTGCAGTCTGTTGCTGGTTATATCTATGAGACCTGATAATATTTTGTTCTTAAACTTTACAAGGCTCTTCCTCAGTCCTACTGGTTTAATTTTCTAACAGACCAAACTGTGGAGCTGGGCTATGGATTCAAGTCACCATAGACTGATAACTGTGGAAAGCCAAGATGCCACTTTTGGGAGGTTTTTTTCCCCTATTTAGAAACTTAATACTGGTAAATATTTATGCTGCAGCCTGGCCTTCAGGACTAGCCAGGATCTGAAGACCATTAAGTACAAACACCTAAGAAAAGAAAGTTGAGCTAACTGTTTATATGTCCGTTTAACCACTACTCCAGAGTTCCCAATGATTACAAATTATCCTCAACTTTAAAAATTAACTACACATAGCATGCAAGAACTCTGTGACTGATGAACTGACTTGATACCACAGATAATTCTTGAGGAGGCATTTCAGCCAGAAGAGAGAATGGGACCTTAAATGATTACGAGAGAGAATTTCCTGCGTGACAGTCATTGCAGACGAAAATGCAGAAGCAAAGAATATTTCTCTGTATGCTTCATATTTCCTTTTTATCTTTGATTTCAAAAGTGTATCAGGGTTCTTTGCATTTTTGAAGTATTTTACCTATTTTTTATGGTTTAGGCTATTTTTTTCTCTTTCATTATTACACTGGATATAATTCACCACTGATATTAAGATCCCTGAGCCTACGTCAGGGCATCTACTGTTTTGCTGCTGGATGCTCTATATAACTCAGGAGTCACCTAAGTTTCTTAAACAATTCCTTTTCTTATTCTTTGCTATGCTTTTTCTGTCTAAGTCTTGCTGGTCTTAAGACACTTTCTTCAAATGTCCTGACTCTTCTATAGTCAATTTTTTTTAATGTCCCAAAAAGATGGGTGGTCCAGGCCATACGCATCAGCAGCTTGTGTCGAATGAGGAAAGCAAGGCAGTTGCATGCTTTCAGACTCTCAGACTTGGAGCAAAGCTGCCAAAGCTGTATCATATGGACATCAGAAAAAGTTCAAGACATTTTAACAAAAATATGGAGAGCATGAGAATAAAGCTTATAATTAAAACTGCTTCTCTAACTCATGGATGCATTTCCACTGAGTCTGCTTTTATAAGAAAGACAAATAGGTTTTGGTCCTAAATGCCAATGTTTCCACCTCCATAATAGAAGCTAAAACACCTTGCTTATATTGTAAATACCTTTACAGTGATATCTGAAATGACTTGTGATGTTATCTATGCACTCATGACCATGTTCACCATACACACAATTTAAACGCTATTTAAATCACAATTTAAAACACTATGGTGCCTATTCCAGGGAGTTTATACAATCATAGAATCATGGAATGGTTTGTGTTGGAAGGGACCTTTTAAGACCACCTAGTTCCAACCCCACTGCCATGGGCAGGGACACCCTCCACTAGACCAGGTTGCCCAAAGCCCCATCCAACCTGGCCTTGAACACTTCCAGGGATGGGGCATCCACAGCTTCTCTGGGCAACCTGTTCCAGTGCCTCACCACTCTAACAGTAAAGAATTTCTTGTGAGGGAAAACAATGAGGTATTGGAGGCTAGCTAGAAAAAAAAAAAAAGTTTTCTCAAAGAATTTAAAGGTATTTTTTTCAAAGAACTCAACATCCTTGCTCTGTCCTTGCGGGTTATTTTTTTAAAAAGAAATGCTGTCACTAATTTGAAAATCTTTTAATTTCTAAGTCTCTTTTAAGTCTTTTATAACTCTAAGAAACCAATTTCTAGTACTTCAGGAATGACAAAACCAGAATAAATGTCCTTCCCGCTATTAAAAGAAGTTACTGAGACTTAAAAATGTGTGATTTTTTTTTTAAATCAATTTTGAATAAAGAAGGAAATATTTCCTGAAATGTAAAAGGATGAATGCTAAAATAGCTGAGTGAATAAATTAATATTTAAAATGTATTTGTGTGGGGGGTTTATTTAATGTTATATATTTTATAAGAGTAAGAGCAATATAGTCAAAGCCCTAATGAGAAAAGTACAGTAACTTCTTCAGTATGCCACCAGTTTCTCACATGCATAAAGGTGACATCCTCTTCATTGGATGATATTTGGCTTTGTTAATGAATGGTCTTTGACTTATTTAGCAAGACATTTAAGCACACATACACCTTAAACATGCAATGAATTTTGCCTTATTCTAGCTTGTGTTTAGAAGTTTGCCTGGGCATTTTCTCTCTATGTAAAATGCATAATTTTCTACACAATACCAAAATCTGAATATATGCAATGATTATTTGTATTCAATTTCCAGTCTTTCTGTTGAAGAGTAGACTCAGGAGAAGCAAAATAAACTTCTCCAAATATGAGAGAGACTTTTAACACATTTCTTATTAGCACTACATTTCTTGTTTACTGAGTCTACAGGGTGTTGTCATTTATTTATTTTTTTTTAATTAATAAGATCTCTTGTCAGGTACAACTCTAAGAGTCAACATATTTCTTCCAAATGCAACAAATTCCCTGAATGAAAGACAGATCGCAACAGGAACATTCACTTATTGGGCATCAGAGTAACTACAGAAAAAGAAGGCACTAACAGTGGGAAAAAAACTTCCATTTTGATACCTGAGACACAACTCTGTAAGAAAATCTGACTTTACTGTATCTTTCCTCCCCTGTCCTTCCTGTAAGTATATGTCATCCTTATTGCAGTAAATTCTGCTCTGCTTTGATGGGCAGAATGACTCTGCTGTCATTCGAAAAACCAGAAAGGAAAATTCTCTTGTGGAGTGCAAATCTATGTTGTACATTCTACATTTTCCACAGCAAAAGCAACAGAGATCTGCTGCAAAGGCTGCAGGAAAGTGTTTGACCCTTACAATTCTTCTTTATCAGCACAGTATGAAGGTGCTGATTACTGCACATAAAACATTGTGCTCTCTGCTACATTTTTAAAGCAATACTTACAAAGTCTAAATTGAAAGAGATCTTAATATAACTTCCTCTATATGCTAATAAAATGCATAATATAAAGTCAAAACATGCAAATAGGAGCTTGTTAAAAAGCAGACTGATAGATTTCCTTTTATCAAATAATGTTTTAAGATTAGAAAAGGTATTTATTACACATGCTTGAATGTTATATGCTTAAACAAGGCAAACAGCAAAAATGGTAACAGTTTTGTAGCTAGTACTAGCGACCAGATCAGAAAATACAAAAATGATAAATGGTCAATTTCTGGATTAACTTATCTGTCTTGTGGGAAAGAGAAACTGGAAGCCTTAGAAATGCAGTGTAAGCAAGACCTCGGCTTATTGCCGAGGTCGTGGGTTGTGCTATGTGAAAACCAGAGTAAGAAGCAATGCAGCGTTTTAAAGACTAGCTGTGGCAGGCAAGGAGAAAGAAAACATTTATGATGACACATTGTGGGACTGTAATTCAAGGCAGCATAAATTTAATTCAGATATAATCTTATGATATTTTAAATTATCACATTAAATGACGTTTTCCTGGATTTCCCAACACTCTTTATTTAGCTTAGTTTTGTTGTTGTGGGTTTTTTTAATCCATCAAAGATACAGACATTTTAATTACTTTTTCACCTTTTAATTACTTTTCACAAATTCTCCGTTAAAGCCAAATAATAAACTTATTGGTCAGAATTCTGTTCAAACAGTGACTGAGTGAATAGTCTCTATGGCAAGTTTTTGTAACGAGGTTTCTCCTTGATTTCTGATTTCTGTATGCTCAGTGACAAGAGTTTGCCCCAAAAGGAACAGCAGAACTGGCTCTGAACCCTGCGCACAAGGCAGGACCTGCCAAGAACATCTAATGTGGAAGCCTGTGATGTTTAACCTGGCTCCCACCCTCACTATTTTGCTTTCCAGAGTCTTAGCAACTTGACATATTGAAGATATCTTGTTAGTAATTCTTTCACTAGCAATTATTTTCTAGACCGCAGTGTAGAGCAGTGCCTCTGCTAGAGCTAACATTTAGAATTTTTCACCATAAAATCTAGCTTATGGAAAACACAATTTTTAAAAATTTAAAAGTTAAAATTACCAGTTTTTCAGTTTTCCTCAGGCCTAATCATCCTGGAGCAAAAAATAATTCTGCTTAACAAACATTCTTTTCAGATCAGCTTCACAGCAGCTGAACTTCCTAATTCTGACTGTTTCTGAATTACCTTTTATTGGTTACTGCCTATACATGTGCTAATACTGTACTATACATGTTTCTAAAATATGTTTTAACGATACTGCAACTTTACTGCTTCATATTCATGCAGGTTTTTAAATGAATGGATTTTTTTTTCAGAAAGCCTAGATAAATAGTAAACACATTCTTCATTCTTTAATCATACCATATCTGAGATGCTGGTTCCAGAGATATCAATGGATATCAATGACGACATATTTCCCAAGGCTTCAATTCCAGCATCAGTCACATTTTCACAGTAACGCAGATGTAGGTAGGTCAATTCATGACATCTAAATTACATAAAAACCCCAGAAACGTCAGCTTTCCACTTTTGTTATAGAGGTGTAATATAGCAAGTATATTTTTTTAATAACCCTTGCTGAGTTTTTTTTCAGGGGACCTATGAAAATAAGCACTCTAGACTTTTGATATGTAGCACTGCCAAGGATTCCACTCATAATGCATAATCATCAAAAATATTTCAAAGCATGAACAGCAATTAAATCAAAATATGGAAATCAAGGAGCTCTATTACATACAAATATTTTTTTAATTGATTCAATGCTTGACTTTTCCCCATCTCCAAATCTGTTGTATCTTGCATAAGAACTTCAAAGCTCACTGCACAGCAGAATTCAGGACCCCGTGGCTGTACCCACACCAGCTACAGCTATGCCAATAATGGTCTACAGCAAATGAAGACACTGGAGGTTCTGCAAATCAGCACTCACTGACCATACATGGAAAAGTGAGTTTTACTGTGTAAGTAAGCACCGTAAACTGTATCTTCCCATAATCCAACCAGAAGACCTAAGACATCTGACTCCTCAAGCAGTGCATCTATGCTCAGAGCCTCAGGGGTAACACTCCATCATTCAAACAGAGAAGGCATTCCCTAGCTTACCAGCAAGCGTGCCACAATTATTCACAACCTCTGGTACAAAAACATAAACAGGGGCCTGCTGAGACATCTAGCAAGGAGTGGAAAGACTCACTCCAATCTTCTCTGGAGATTTAAATATTATCTTTTGATTGCCAACACCAAAACTCCTTCTGAGGAACTGGAAGAGGTTTAGCAGTAGAGTGCTTTTTCTTTGTGCAGACATGAGTATTGAGTTTACAAACATGTGACATCATACATACTAATCTTCTAACGTAGTTTTTTCACTGACAACCATCATTTAAGCACTTTATTTCCCCCTAAAATTAAGACTTCTCAGGTTTCCATATTTAAATTGATGAATTCCCCTTTATCATAGAATCATAGAATCATGGAATGGTTTGTGTTGGAAGGGACCTTTTAAGACCCCCTAGTTCCAACCCCACTGCCATGGGCAGGGACCCCCTCCACTAGACCAGGTTGCCCAAAGCCCCATCCAACCTGGCCTTGAACACTTCCAGGGATGGGGCATCCACAGCCTCTCTGGGCAACCTGTTCCAGTGCCTCACCACCCTCACAGTCAAGAATTTCTTTCTAACATCTAATCTCAATCGACCCTCCTTCAGCTTAAACCCATTGCCCCTTGTCCTGTCACTACACTCCCCAATAAACAGTCCCTCACCATCTTTCCTGTAGGCCCCTTCAGGTACTGGAAGGCCGCAATTAGATCTCCCTGGAGCCTTCTCTTCTCCAGGCTGAACAATCCCAACTCTCTCAGCCTGTCCTCATAGGAGATCCTTATGGAATGGATCTTTTTTTAAAAGAGACTCACAATGCCAAAAGGGACCAGTCATTTATCTAGTACAATTTTGTGCATATAATTGGCTGTATAATTTTACCTATTAACATATTAAGAACTTTAACATTAGAAATACACTGAAAGTCTAACCACATTAGAAAAATACTGTACTGGACTACGGTACCTTTGTGCTATTTCTGTGACAGAAGCATCAGTGACACGAATACAATTAGTCAAATTCAGCTCTCTTAGCTTAGCTCCTGAAGAACCTTGTACAAATGGCCTTACACCTCCATCACTGATTCTAAAAGAGAAATATAGGCAATATTTATAATATGTATTTTTCCTACTCTATACAAATCAATATAAAATTTGCATTCAGCAGCCTACATTGCAGATAAGCAGAAATTAATCATGGTATTTTTTAATAGCCTTTTAAACCCAAAAAGGAGTCAGAATAATTAATGGCTTGATTAGAAAGATGCTGCTTTTTGGAACTGCTAAAAATCAGAACTTTCTGAAAAAGTCTGTTGGAGATTATAAGAAATTCCATTAGTTCCACCACTCAGATATGACAGCACCCCAAAAGACAGAGCTTGGAAAACATATCTAGAAAATATCAGAACCTGTTTAAACATTTCAGAGTAGTATTTGTTTTAGTATCTTTGTTAATTTAAGGAACTGAAATAATTTAAAGGAAAAATTACCTTCTAGCACAGAAGCAAAAGTCATAGGTAGTATATGTATGTAGTAGTTGTTCTATACACATGCATGAAGACTTTACCTGAGTTCTTCCTTGGAGTGTTTCATTTAATCGATTGTATGTCTCACACCCAAATCACTAACTCATAATGTACCCAAAAGTTATAAAAATTAAGTATAGATAAGATGATAGAAAATCTTTCAGCCAAGTTGAGAGGGTTAGAGAGCTGACTACAACTTGGGAAGTGTTTCAATATAGTTCATATCTCTGGTATGTTTAACATTACTTGCACACTTAGCTTTTCAATGCATTCCCAGTATTTCTTCCATGTTCCCCGATGAATAAAAAATTAATCCCAGAATTCTGAAGGATAGAATCATATTTTGGCTTGTACAGCTTCTTGCAGCACAAAGAATCACTGCAAATCCCAAAGTCCTAGAGACATATGGGTAGGAATAGCACTACTAATAAAACTGAACGGAGCCTCATTATGTGACCACAAGCTACAGATCAAGCTATATTTCATAAAGTGTTAAAGTAATCACTCTGCAATAATTCAACTGCTGTAGTAGTTTTGGTGTTATTTCACAGTGCAGTTGTTTTTCATTCAAGATAGATAAATTTAAGAAATATACTTTCAGAATAATTAACTTGCATAAAGTCTGTAAGGAATGCAGAGGCTTTAATAGATATTCTCTAACTGCGCTGGGCTTCAGGGCTGAAATAGCCACATTATAACTTTAGAAATAATTGTGCAGTGAATACACACGCTAAGGTTCTCTACTCAGCTGATGAACTGTGTAAGAACACAGGCCACACACTGCTTTATCATACATGAAGATAACACATTCAAACACGGAAAAATGTGCCGAGGGTATGAGCCACCACATTGCCTGTGCCTGGTTTTGTACACCTTTTTACTCACATCTCTATTATTTCTTAATTCTAATAATTATGACCAGTTAATTTTCTTTCTTCATTTTTTACATGTAGTCAAATACTTCCTGTAATTTAAGAATTCTGAATTGTTAGATTTGCTCTTTCTGTTCATTTTTCAAAAAATTTTCCATATGACTAAGTTAGAAAAACTTAGAATCTTAGACTAAGATATAATGCCAATGAAAAAAAAGGAAACTGATTAAGACCACTAAGATGGCCAAGCATTTCAAAATCTGTTCTTAAGATTCTACCACCAGCATGGCACTTCCCTTGATCTCTACGAGAAATTGCTAAACATTTCTAACTCACAATGTGAATTTTTATAGCAACACACTGTCCAAATAAGAGAAACATAAGTACTAACAATCCCCCTTTTGTAGTTCCATATCTCTCGAGAGAAACTACCAAGTTTAGATGTGTTACAATCTACGGATTTGTTAATGCTGAAACTTTTACAAGTGTCTGCAAAAGCAATAATATAAACACAGAGTTTTACAATAGCTTTACAACTGCTTAAGACGTTTTGTTAAGGTAATTCAGCAATTCTTCAGCAGCAGAGACCGTAGACACATGTGCAAACACACTCACAGCCCAAGATTTGGCTAACAGACTGGAAAATCCAGCCTTCTAAAACTTAAACCAGAAAATGCAGGCAGCTGTCCCATCTGCCCGGCTGAACTACCAACATGATGTCACGGTATTACTCCAGCACTTCTCAGCGCATCTACAGGCAATGTTATCAGATTTTTACACAGCATTAACAGGCACAAAAAGTACTTTAGTTACACATTAAAGCAGGATCTCTAAAACTTCACATGAAGTCAGAAATTTTAAGATAAGCAGCAATTCTATCTTGTTTGCATTAATTCATAGGTCTGTTGATTTCAAAAGGTTTGGAGGTTTTGCCTTCCCTGTTCCCTGCCATCCTTGACCCCATCACCGTGCCACAAAACAGGGACCAAGCGTGCAGCTTCGGCAGCCCTTTCATTTCTCTTTGTTTCTACTGATACATGACACGCCTAAGTGGAAAACAGTCTTCACATAAAATACATCCTTCCTCTACAACATAAACAACAATGTTGTCTTGGTAATTATAAAAAATGGCAGTTTTACTTATATCTTAGTACTAGATAGTTACAAAGTATTATTTAATAGTTACAAAATTAAACAATATCCAAATTTTCATAGAGCTTTGGCACTGGCATTGTCTTTGGTTATCATTTTCATCTTCGTAGCCACGTTCCAGCACTAAGATATGCCATGGCTATTAACTAATATTACATCTACAGTTGATTTTTCTGCTTGAACTGGAGTAATAATGACTGGATTTTTGAACACATGATACAGGAACAAAAAATACTTGTATAAAATATCTTTAAATATTAATATACATGTATTAACATTCTAAGACTTTATTTTTAAAACTGAAATATGTGCTTACAGGACTTATTATAATTATGAATATAATTAACTTTACTAAAATTCCTTTACAATGGTTTACATAAATCTGGATGTGGTGTAGTACCTTATGCAGTCTGCTACATTTAGTACAAGAATATGCTTCAATGGTGAAATCATCTTAAGACCAGCATCTGTAATCTTCTGGCAATCAGCCATATGAATGTGCCTGATGTATGGGCAGCATTTACTCATCAACTTGAAACTTAAATCAGTAATTTGGTTATTCCCTGTTGAAATATATAAAGATGCAAGTTATACATCTGACATACATTAAGGGCCTGATCCAAATAATACCCACTGAAATCAGTTGAAAGATTCTTATTTATTTCATATTGACTAGATGAATTTTAAAAATACATCATCCTAATAATTTTGTGATTATACTAACCTTCAGTGCTGACCTTGACAAGTTTACATTTAGCAAGGGCCTTAAAAGTTGTATCAGAAAGATGTGGAGAGTCGAGAAAGATAACAGACATTATCTGTTGGCATTTTTCAACCAGAGCCTTCGAAAGGAAAAAGCGAAATAATATTTTCATATATCTATGCTGTCACATAACAAAAGATCAGCAAATATTCTGCATATGATACCAAATGTTACCATTTCAAACAAATAGTTATAATCCATTTTAACAGTAACTTCTAGACAGTGAGCAGTATATAAACAACTTAAATTCTCCATATATTTATTATGTTTGGGAACATAAGGAAAAGAAGTAAGTAACTGGAGACATGAAGTATGGCAGACACCCAATACAGTGATCTAGTTAACAATCGCTTTTGCAGAAGACTGAATATTCTTTTTTGATGGGTAAAATCAGTAGCAGACTGCTGTTCCCATAGATTATACTTAGCACTGAAAAAAATGAAAACTTCTCATTTGTAAACTGGAAGACCATAATTCAGCCATACCCACACAGCAAAGGAAGACAAGACAACTGAAAGTTTCTGAATGTGACTGCAAGTGAGCAAGATTTATAAGCATAAGTAGATAATAGTTTTAAAAATGTTTTAGGAGAGAAATTTTCCTCTTAAATTGTTTCTGCATAACTTTAAAGTCAGTTGAGAGGATAACCTAGTTCCAACATCAGAAAGTTTCTCAAAGTTCAGATTTATTTTCAATTTCTTACTTGAATACATCTGTCTGTAAGAGTTGGCATTTTGTTGATTAGCAAATCTTGAATCCCACTGCAGCCATTGGCAATATTTCTGAAGCCATCAACTGAAATCTAGGTAAGAAATAAAATATTTATGCCTTAGAAAGCCTAACAGAAACAATACCGGAAAGGCCTGAGATGTCCTCAATACTTTAAAATCATAGGTACCTAGATGCTCACGAAACCAAGAAATGCATTAATCCCATTAAAAGAAAAACAGACCCATGAGGTATACATATTATTCAGAAATTTTAATAACATAATCCAAATCCAGGATCTGTTCCAAAAATGTGTCTACTAAGCAAGCAAGAGGAAGGCACAACAATTTCTACAGTCAACACCATTTATGGGAGTAGGAATGAATTGTCACATCCTTCTACCTTTGTCTTCCCAGCCTTAGGAGGTATTTGCACATGGCAGATGCTCACTTCTAGTCTGAAGCAATGTTTGAATGTGGTAAACTATCTTCATCGGTTTTTTCCAGATCCATCATGAAATGTGTGTTAAATTCAGATGGGATACAAAGACAGATCCTATGCAATCACAATTACATGGAGCTCGTTTAAAGAATCCTTCATGTAGGACCACACCACCAACTCTGCATATTCTAACAGAGCAATATTCAGTGAAACTATGAATGAACAGATGGATCTGTCAATTCAGTTTATTCCTTTTATCAGTACCAGGGAGTCAATTCTTCAATTTCCCAAATTCAATAGATATCAGTTCATTCTTGGCATACAAAGTAGTTCCTTTGACATATGAATCCTAAAGTACAGGACAGTTTCCTTTTAGCCCCATGTTCTACAGAGATCGTGGATGTGAACCATTCCTCCGCATTCGCATGTAGAGATCTCACTATTTCCCAGGGTTTTTTGAAGTTGTATAATACAATAATCTTGTGCAACTCAGACTACGGCTGTGCTCTGCACCAGGAATTCATTTGCAAAACATCACAAAAAAAGCAGTCTGGCATGTTCTCCTGGGTACTAAAGGCCTGTGAAGACAAGAATCCAAAGAAGGAAACTTCAAAGTATACTGGGAAGAATTCTTGCTGTACCCCACCTCTCCAGCTGCTGCGAAAGCCTGATTCGCTTAGTTACATTGCTGAAGGGGAGCGGCAGTGTAAAACACAGGCTTTGCTTAGCATATATACAATGTCTGACAGTGGACACCATTAGCAGACAGGAGATAGTCACAGAAAAGCAAGCCAGAAGCTGAGCAGCAGCCAATCACCCATCACACGTCAGTATGGCAGCAGTGCACCACAAGATCCTTCCAGTTCTTGCACTTGCAGCCTCAAGCCTTTGTAGCATATTTGACTGCTCCCCTCAATGACTTACCAGTGGAAACAAGCGTCAAGGCTGCTCTCCTTCCACTCTAGCACTGGGTGAGGGGGTTAACACACTGGGTTTCTCACTCTTCTTCTTTTTGCAAACTTAATGTTTGGGTTCTTTTTGCATGTGAGATTTTTTTTTTTCATGAACTGAATATCTGACTTTATGTTTTAATCAAGGTAGACTGTCTTTTCTTATCTGGCATAATGCCCCATCCTTTAACCTACGACCAGGTTGGCTTGCTCTTTATTTTCAGGCTGGAGTGGCCTTTTAAACAGATTCTTTATAAATTGTTTTAAATATTTTGATGTTAAATGTCTTGTCTCTCCTTCGTAAGGGATTGTGGCACTCTACCCAGTTCTTCCCTTGTGCAGGGAGGTGTCAGCACTAGAGGGCAACTGGTGGGGTCTGATACGGTGCAGCTGTGTAACCCTGGATCAGGCTTCTCGGAAAACGGCTGCATTGTAAGAAAGAGCTGAAGAAGGAAAAAGAGCAAAATCTTGGGGAGGGCAGGAGGGAAGGCTGCAGAAAAGGATTACACAGAAAGATAACCATCTTGTAAACACAAGCTGGTCAGAGCATGTAGAGCCTGTTGGCACACTCCAGGCTCTCACATGCCCTCCAACAGAGACAAGTCTGCTGGACAAAAGAACACCATAACTTTGGGAATGCGTTTGATGTGGATAACACATCAGTGAAGATCTGCAGATCGTACTGCAAATCTCACCCATCAGCATGGATAGGTTGGATTTGCCTACCCCAAATGATTGTGTACTAGTTTGGGGCTACTGTGACAAACGCAATCCTCTTTTCAACTGGTAGTGATCACCAAAAGGCAAAATGTCATCATGGAAAGATAGGTGCTAGTTCTAGGACAGAATATGAAATTCAGTTGTCCAAATTCTATGGTTTTGTACTCACTATTGTTATAGGTAATGTAGGACAATATAATCCTATCTTCAGTTTCCTCAGCCCAAAACCTCTGGTCTGTATGAAAGAGATTAACTTAAATTGTGACCGCAAGCGAGCAGCTGCCTGAGGGAGGTATTGGCAAATCTGGATTCTCTGCTAGTCAGGAAGCGCTAATTGCTCTAACACGGCATGACCAATTCATTCAGAGTTTACCTAACCCTGCAACAGGCCTCTTCATTGTTGGCTCTCAAGCAGCACAACAACAGAAGACAGCATGTTTCTACAACACGCACCAAGTAGTTTAATCTGTTAAAGTGAAACAAATCACCTGCTAGAAATTTCAGTTTGAGAGGTGAATTTCTGGTAATTGAACCTTGTTCTTGGTCCATATACTACAAAGAGCAAACCACTCCCAAGAGAAGAGAGGGTGTGTTACATCATACAGTTTGCTGTAATACATGGTAATAACATTGTCCATTATAATCTGAACATGATGCCTTTTCAAAAGAAGATTGAGGTTTTCACTCTTCTAAAAAATCAGCCCCGGTTTGTTACGCAGTTTGAGGATGCTTTAGCTGTTATGACAGTAGGATTTCCCCTTGTAACTGCTGAACAGATTTGCTATAATGAGAAGGAACAACTCTGCTCCCAAGGAAGCGTCACTCAAAAGCTGAGATAGTGCAGAACACGCCATGTTTTGTAAGGGTCAGTTCAAACACATGCATCAGTCGTAACCAACTCCAACTGGCCCCTATGACTGCTGATGAAAGGAAGGTACGGGGCTTAATGGGACCTGCTGCCAATTGTTCTTGGGATTTTTTTTTCCAAGAACATATTGTTAAGAGTACCTACCTCGGCTGGTGATCACAGTTAAATACACAGAGTAGGAATACAAGACCCCTCGTGTCTAGGTACCTAAAATTCAGGCATAAATACAATGAAATGAAGGATCTTAGTTACATTACTTGTTGTTTTGGCCAAGATTTTAAAAATATCACTGAAGAAAACTAAATGCAGACTCAGGAGCCTAGTTTTAAGCTCCTGAGTTGGCAAATGTCAGCCATTTAGCTGAGCAGTAAAGATAAATACCTGCAAGGCTTACAGGTTGTTCTGATAATTGTAGAACAGGAATCACTGTTGAGAGGACTTTAAAATCAGGGAAGTAGGTAAGGAAAAATGCTAAGTCAGGAAAGTGCCAATAAAATTGATGATGATTTAAAAAATAGACTGAAAATGCTAAAGCCTTTGTTTACTCCACTGAAATTAGGAACATAACTGAGGTGTCTATGTTAGACAATTATGAAACCTGGGATCTCTATACAGCAACCAAACAGCAAGAAAGATCTCAAGACAGGTCAGATCTGGAAAAGTCTGAATTGCCTCTGGAGTCTTCTCTCCCTCTCTAACTGTTATATGGATAAATTAAGGTAATTTTCTAGGCACTACCTTAGGTTAAATGCCTAAAATTAAGTGAAATTCCCATTCTCAAAAGGATAGATAGTAGGTAACAAGTAATCAGATCAAACTCAACGATGCTGAAGGACAGAAGTAGCATACTGTTTCTGTTTCAGTAATGATTGCATGATGTTAACTGCAGTCTTATCTCTTTGTCTGGAAAAACACTGTTTGCTTAACATAGCCATTTGATACCACGAATAGCAGCAATTTAGTGTTTTCCTCCATGCAAGCCAAAAACAATTAAGTGGCTAATAACATCCCTGCGCAGATTGTTTCACATTTTTTTTCCTTGAACTGTTTTTTAACTTAAAGCTGGACAATGGATCTCAGGCACCAGGCTGAGAAAGTTTCAGTATGAAACATGCTTTCAGATAAGATTTAACTAAATTAGTCAACATGCTGCTGCAATTTAGTCAACATGCTGCTGCAATATCGTATGTATTTGTCTTATTTTTCTTTATTCCTAGAACAAAATCTTGATTTTGAATTTCTTTTCTAAAGCCTCTATGGATTATCTATGAAACTTCAGGCACTCTTGAAGATAAGGTGTAGAAATATGAAATTTTGTGCACATTTTAGTAAAACAATTTCTTTCTCAACTCACTTGGAATTTCAATGTTTAATAGATTGCCTCAAGAGTGAACAGCTTGACCTGAGAACCAATGTCAGGATACAAATGGAATTTAATACTGCATTCTTTGCCCTGGATCAGTAAAATCCCACTTAAACCTCCTTCTTCTTCAAACCAATTGTGAAGGAGGATGCTTTGAAGGTTATTGTGAGTCTTAGGTCCTATTAAATTCTGCAAAACAGACTTTTCCTGCATGACTCAGTAAGATCATATTATAAATGCATTATTTTTCTTGCAATGTCCAGGATCAGAAGTCAGTGCAATGATCGTATATAAAATACAATTCTTTGTCTGTGAGGATTTTTCAGTCTAATATTTAAATGACTGATTTGGGTTTTTTTCTTAACTGTATGCTAGTATATTGTGATCTGAAATGAAAGTACATCAAAACAAACATGGAGCAAACCACAGCTAAAAATTTGTCCCCATAGATTTAGAAAACAAACGTAGTGAAAAGATGAAATGCTTGTAAGAAGGTCAAAATTAATTTCATTTAATCTTTTTTATAGTTTCTTAATTCCAAAGAATAGTACCACACAGAATTTTTATTCAGGTTTTGGCTTATTTGCTACCCATACAGTACTGCTTTAAAATTCCTTCTTTCTCCCCCTGAGCTGTCTGCATTTGTGGAATCCACCCTGCAAGGCAGAACGCTGTCTGCAGTGCAGAAGGGATTTTGAAGAAACACTGTTCTATGACTCTAGTATTGTCAATGCACTGTGAGTTCAGAAAGTTGAAAATCAGTGTTCAGGATTGAGGAAGTACTCTTGCGGTACTTATTTATTGTGGTACTCTTTATTCTGTGTTTGTCAAGAATGAGAAAATGAATTGTGATATCCTTTCAGATGTTTGGCACATTACATTGATGGCTTGTCTCCACATGTTATTTTTCTTTAATTTTCCACTGTCCAAAAAAAGCTTATATTAACATACCCCTGAATTAGCATATTTCTAAAAATACAGAATAGTGCATGTGTAACTTATAATAAAGTATTCTTCCATTACACGAGTTTGTACTCAGGAAATGTAAACAATGAGTCCTTTTCTTCAATAAATAAAGAACATGGCTCAGGTTTCTCTCCCCAAGTGATGGCCCCTTTTTGCTGCTTGATACATCTGAATCAGCCAGAATTTGACAGCAGCTGCCAAAATGAGAATTCTCGCAATGAAGTCAGAGCAGGAGATACTCAGATGGTGAAACCTGGTGAAGCCTACATGTTTGCCAATAGATTCTCTGACATCCCCATGAACACTGCAGGACGTCAAGAAATGAAAGGGTCAAATTTCTTTTTCCCAGTGGCTTGTGATCTCTTCTCCAGCTGTTGTAAACTACAGCAATTGATAGACCGCTCTAACGCATTTGAGACCAGAATAGTTCCAGTCTGAAAATCAGCCATAGATGTTGGCACCAAAAATAAAAAAGTCAATTTCTTTGCAAATCTCCATGTTTCTAATTTAACTGAAAATGTCTCTCACTAAATTGTTCTAGTTGTACAATCTCAATCTAAAATGTCACTAAATGACATGCAATTGCTTTATATCCTTCCGTCTTTTCAGTTTTGTGTCTAATAGCAGAAAACTTTCCACCTATACTGTTCAGCTTCAGATACGGAACAAAGAAATCTTACACTTTCTAGGTAATTGTCTGAGGATATCATTGGTGTAATAGGACACCTTTTGAGCAGGACACAAGAGAATCTCTATATTTTTATGAAAATATCTTGAAACTCATTAATGAAAATATTTACCACCCATGTCATAAAGACACTGCCTTAATTACTGAGATTTTATGCAAAAAACCCATACCTACAATTCACCCAGTATTATTACCATGTATTAATATAATAGTCAAAGGAAAAACTGTCTTGGTTTATGACAATGGGCTAGAAAATCTCTGCTTAATTCCCAGGTTTCTGCCTAACTATGTTTAAATAAGCTATTTAAATGCCTTGGTCCTCAAGTTGCTACTCGCAAAACCATAAGCATAATCACCCATTTTACAGATGGGCTTTCTAAATAGATGTTCAAATCCTATAGTAGTAATGGTAATATAAGAACTCATATAAAAAGAAGTGTAATGTTCAAATGAAAGAAAAAACAGGAAACATGAAAAAACAGGAAAAATATATATTCTATAGAATATATATTCTGTTCTATAGAACACTTTTTAGCATAATTTAAATGTTTATACTACAGCTTCACTACATTTTTCTAACTAATTCTGAAACATTACCCTTACAGAAGTTCCTTTTGGTTTAGTTCATCCAATGAGGGGGAAAGCAAAGAATTCTGTCTTATTAAAATGCTTTCTGCAACAGTGATGCAATTTGATGCTCTTTTTGGTTGTAACTGCTTAAGTACTCAGTCATAATCATCAAGCGCTGTTCCAGAATTGTGGGGAAGCCCAAAATGGAGGAAGCTGTGGAATCCCTTTTAGAGGTCTGGAATACACTGGTGAGCAAACCCTTTCCCTCTGGAAAGGGGAGGATTGTGGTTTTCCAGTGCGATGATGATCACTTTTCTCTGACTACTATTAGATCATGCTTTCTAGAGGCAGATCTTTACAGCTCATGATTACAC